AAAAAACCCCCCCCCCCCCCCCCCAAAGGGTAGTTAACCTCACCGACATCACTCCTGCATCCTGTCCCAATGGTTTCCCTCATCATTAGCCGTAAGCTTCGTTTTGTACAGGAAAAAGTTTGAAATTTCGCAATTCACGAAAAATCCATTTTTTAAATTTGAAATTTCGATTAAAAAAAAAAACAAAACAGGTATTCTGTATTTTTTTCTACTTTTTCAAATGGAATTTATCCCATTGGATTTCCATCAAAAGTTTATTTTCTATGAGAAAAATGAATTTTCACAAGGGTAGTTTACCCTCCATATTTCACCCGCCGGAGACGGTTGTACTTCGCATTTTCATCATTCCTTGTGACCTTCATGATACACTGCGAAAGAGTTGTTCAAAAAGCTTCCTTATGTTTGCAATCGAAAAATGACCCCGGGAGGTGATCAACTTCAGAGAGCACTTTCACCCCCTAAAACCCAATATGGGCAGCGAAAAAAAAATACGTGTCTTAGTTTTGGGTCCCCTATAACATATTTAAGTTTCATCGAAATCGGAGGGGGACACCTGCGTAGTGTTCTTTGAAAGATTAAAAAATGAAACCGATGTCATTTATTAAAAATACAATTCTCAATCGGTAGACTTTGGTTTCATTCCTTCATCTCAATAAGGGAGGGGAGAAATTAATTTTTGAATGACAAGAACTTGTCCGGAGTTATCGATAGATATTGCTTTCATTCTTTCATCGTAATTAGGAGGGGAGAAATGAATTTTCCAATCGGAGGAGCCCCTCTGGAGAGCCGTGCGGGGTTACTCCGCGCTTTTAAAAATTCATTCCTCCGCTCCTACTTGAGTAGGATACAATCGAATTTCCCGAAGATTCCAAAAAGCTTAATTGTTCTTCGTGCATGAAAAATGGGGATCTTCGGGAAACTCCTTGCGATCGCAAGACTTCTACCGATTTATTTTTCTCCGCGTGACGTCCGTATAGAAGATCAAAAAATCAATTTAACATTGGGATAAATGGAGTGGAGAGAAAAACGTGAATATCTAGGAAATTAGATGCGACAAAATGGGCCCTTTTCACGTGGACGTACACATATAATTGGATTAAAATTTATAGAAATGTTTAATTTGCAATGACGGAATTCCTCGAAATTTCCGTATTACCCCAACGCGATAAAAATTCCCAATAAGTGTTCCTGGAATTTCCGCGAAAATATTACTGAAACCTACAGACATCATTCCTGAATTCAAGACTTTCCTTTGATTTTAAGGATCATGTCACTGGAAATTTTTTACAAAATGACTTAATTTTAACATTGCTTGCTCATTGCATTTCAGAAATGCAGCTGCCTAAAAAAAACACATCAATTCCTAGGAACAACGTTTTTTTTTGTCGGTAAATATAGACGAAAGAGAAATGTCAGAGTGCAGTGAGTAAACTTCACTCGTCAATAACTCCATAATGGCAGAGTGGAATTCCCTGATTTTTTTTCACTCTTGATTAATTTTTTATAGATTCAAATTGATACTTGATTCATTCACATCGTTCCATTCCATCGGGAGATATTGTCGATTGGAGACAAGTTTTTATGGTCACTGAAGGAGGCAAACCATTCATCTAAATCTTGCAATAATCTGCGAAAAATCTTATTCATTAATCTATTATTATTGAATTAATCCCATTATGTGTAGATCGCTGGAGAACAACGAAAACGTTTCAACCGTTCAAGCGAGTAGGAATGTTTTCTCTCTCCTTCTTTTCCATTTTCTTTCTCACTCGCACTCGTTAATTTTGGCGGAGGACGGGCACGTGCCAACGCGACTGAGACGACAATGAGTGGGAGCGAGCGCGATACATATTCCTTTCTCACTCAGGGGGGCGGGGGAAAACGACATTAGTATACCGGTCTGTTTTACCAACAAAAGTGTACTCGCATTTAGTTCATGCGCCACCACTATGAAAAAATCCAGTCGAAACGTTTACATTGCCGTGGCAGGTCTCCCTTATAATCTCTGATTCTCTGTCGATTGTGTGGTGGAACCACCTTCAGGTCAGACAAAATTCTTTGGCCATTGATGTTGGTGGCGTCGGTAGAGTAAGACTCGCGACTGTTTATTGCAAGCCGATAGGGAACAGTGGTTGTATTCGTGTCGCCGCTCACGCTAAATAAAAATGGCGGTGTTTCCTTAAGGGGAATTGCTTCGGGGACAACACTTACTTCCATTCCTACCCCTTATAGTCTAGAAAACCAGTCACAATCATTCAATGATCAATTGTTGAATCATTCATCCAAAAAACCGTGAACGAAGTGAACTCAAGTGATAAATATTGCTATTGTGATTGATAGGCGGGAGTTCTGGCGTGAATTTGTGTTTTTTGTTGGGGGGCGCCGAGGAGTGTTGGTCAAACCGACTCCTTTGGGCTGTTTTGTGTATTGTACTGGGTGAGAAGCTCTCGGGGTTCTATACACTTCTATTCTGTGTTGTATATGTGGTTTTTCTACTTATGAGCTTTGAGAGGTTAAGAACCTACGTAGAGACCTGTGGGGCTTTCCAGATTCCTCAATTGTTTGTTACTGTATGTATAATAATCCGAGTAATCGGCGGATAATACAGGGTTCGGAGAAGGTCGTGTAACCATGGACAGTCCTCACTAGTTCAACGTGACTAAAAAAATACAATGGAGTGTGATACAGTGAAGTGTTAAATCTTCATACCACTGCTACGGAGTGGCGAAGTTTTTCTCAGCTACTAGAGTTTGCACATTTGATGCACGCGTTACAACCGCCTTCAATCGCTTGTTCCATTCATTAATCACATGCAACATTGGAACAACATTGGGATACAAAGAATAATTGAAAGAGCACGACATAAAAATTGAGAGAGAGGAGGGAGATACTAAAAGAGTGACAGAACTGAGGGAGAAAGAGTGTGTGTGTGAGAGAGTAAGTGTGTGCGTTTGTGTGTGTGTGAGAGAGAGAGAGTAACAGCTATAAAAGTGTTTTGTGCGAGGGGCTGGTGAAGGTGGTGGGGGATACATCCCATGCCGATGCCGGCGGAATACCACGAGAGCCACGGGAACCACGAAAGTACAAATTTCGGGCTCGCGGCCACTGCTGCTGCACAGGACGCCAGCAACATGACGGCCAACATGTACCGAGTGGGAGGTAACCATCGCCAGTAGGCCGTTTTTTTAATAACCCCCTTTTTTCCATTTCATGGAAAAAAATGGCCCTCAAGTTTGTTTTTCTTGGCTCTTTCTTATTTTTTTACAGCAAAAATGGTTGAACATTGCTCGACGTATTCGATACTATGTTAATTCGTCGCCAAGAAATTAATATTTGCAAATGGCATCACAACGGCGTCCCCTGTCCCCTTTCTGCTCCTTTTGCCTTCTCCCTATCACCGTCCTATACTCACCCTGTGTTTCATCGCGCTCTTACTTCTGCTCATATGGATCTTCCCCCTGTCTATGTCTTCGTCTTTTTCCCTTTGCCATCTACACATGTATATCCCCCCTCCTCACTCGTTCCGTTCTTGGCGTCCCGTCTCCACGTCCCTCTGGATTTTTCTCTCCACCTGCCCACAACATTTGGTAAAGTCCCTTCAATCTTAGGTCATATCATATTAATACTCAATCATTTTATGAAATGGAGGAAGGAACATTTATTTATATTCTTTCGAATTCCACTTGTTTTCAATTGGTGGTTAGAGTTAAAGAGGAGGAACGGAGTTTCATTCTGTAATTTTCGATTTTCCGATTGTGTGATGTTCACATATTTTTTCACAATTCCACTTCAATGAATTATATAAAAATTTTTTTTTGTATTTTTATGCTATCGGTAGAAACGTTTAATTGTTTTAGGTTGATAAAGAAATAATACTAATGGTACTATATTTTTTTACAGAGATGTAATCGTGTAATTACCCGGTTTACACCGAAAAAAAAAGTTTCTCAAATTTGAAACTTATTTACTTGAGACATAATAATTTTCCGTTAAGAGGGCAGGAGGGTACAAAAAACTACCGAAATGCGGGGAAAATTCAGCTCCATGAAATCTCCTGATTTATTTGATGAAAAAATATGAAAAATACATCGAAGTGATTGTTATCCGCGTAGAATTAAGGTGACACGGGATGGCAATGATCCAAGCTCACTAAATAGCTATGAAAAATGTTAAAAATTGCAAGTGAATTGACAGCTGCGGGACCGCCATCTTGCTCCCGGGGTGACTTGGTGGGGGGCATACCGGGGGGCATACCGGTAGTGCGTCATCCGCGCCGCGCGATTTTGAAGTCCAGAATAATTACACACTTTGTTTTCATTATTCTATTATCATTAATTCAGCTATGCTTCATTAATATTTCTCGATGAATCGATTGGCGAGGAGTAACAAAAATTCAAGAAAGTGTTTTTTTTTCCGAACAAAAATTAATTCATAGATAAAGTGTGCCCACAGAATAAAAAGTCATCTCATCTGGAAAAAAGGTCATTCCTCATCCTGTCTAGCAATTTCGAGAAATGAACGTGTAATTTGCTTCAACGGACCATTCATCAGAGTAGATCGGAGACTGTTGTGGGTGTTTCCTGTAAACGTTGGGCACATAGGGAATGCAAAAATGCACCAACCAACAGTAACTGGAGGTTCTGTGCTGCTTACTTTACATGATTTTTCTATATGGGATTGAAAAACCCCAGACCTTTCAACCCTCGGCATCACGTCTCCGGTGGATTTGTTTCTAGTCATTTTTAATCCTAATATTTTTGAAACCAGGATTCAATAGGTATTTATTCTCTTCTTATTATTAGTAATATGGCTTCTTTCCAGAAATCGTTAGGAAGAATCAGATATTTCGGGTTTTCAGATGACATCATTTTTTATTCTGTGGGAACATTTGTATATGAATTATTTAAACTTGTCTTCAATGAAAAAATCCACTTTCTCCAATTTTTGTCAATACTCGCCGATCGATTTATCAAAAAAAATTCATGAAAGATAACAGAACTAATCGAAATAGAATAATAAAAAACAAAGTGTGTAATTATTCTGGACTTAAAAATCGCGCGGTGCGAATGACGCGCTCTACTGGTGAGCCCCCCGGTAGGTCCCCCACCCAATCTCTCCGGGTGCAAGATGGCGGCCCCGCAGCTGTCAATTCACTTGCAATTTTTAACATTTTTTATAGCTATTCGGTGAGCTTGGATCATTGCCATCTCGTGTCACCTTAATTCTACGCGGATAACAATCACTTCGAGGTATTTTTCATGTTTTCATCAAATAAATCAGGAGATTTCATGGAGCTGAATTTTCCCCGCATTTCGGTAGTTTTTTTGTACCCTCCTGCTCTCTTAATCGCTTAATTCTTCCAAGTATCTCAATTAACGTGGCCTGAGAAAGCCACACTCATCTCATCTTATCTCATGCTTTAAAATATTTTTCGAGTTGAGTGTGATTTTGTCGCAAATGAACTCACTCAAATCGCGTAGAAGAATAGCCAATATTTTAGTATTTATTGTTTTCATGATTTTTTTATGCACTTCCAATGTTTCAATATGTATATGATATTTATGATGTAACGCGAAACGGTAGTGATAAATCAGAATTTATTCGAGTTCCGTGAAACCCAAACATTCTGAAATTTAAGCTATTGAAAACAATTGACTTCTTTCAAGTAAATATGGTCTGGGAAAGTTTTCTCTCGGTGTACAGGTAGTCTAATCGTTTAGTCGTAGCGGACCGATTAGTTTCATGGAAATAATTGAATTTTATTTAATTATGAAAAATAATAGGAGAATTGCAGATACTAAATGCGTCATTGAAATTTTTTACTAAAATTTTATGGGCGTTAGAAAATATTGACAATCTATTCGTTCCATGTTATTTATTCTCGATCTATATCTCGATCACTCAAGTCCGTGAATCAATTTTCTGTATGGGATTTGTTTTTACTATGTTCGAAAATATAATGATAACTAATAGAACGGTATACGGAAAAAATCAAGAGTCTGTCCCTTTCTGCAATTTTTTCAAAATAGATTGCCCGCAATAACCCTGGCTATTCCTACTTTCAACCTATCAATAGGACGATGAAATGAGTTTATGTTTCTCCTCTCACGTATTTCCGTTAATGCTGATACTGCGAGGAAAAGTGATTACCATTGTAAAAAATTGTCCCAATTTACGGTTTGTTTTTGGTTGCAGATTATGTGTACTTCGAGACGTCGTCCACTTCTCCGTACCAAATTCGGAGGATAGAAGAATTAAATAAAGTACGTTTTTGTTAGCTTTGATAAGACATTTGTAGAGTTTTCAATAACCATGGTAGTTGCAAAAGAAAATTTCAAGAGCCTTTTTTTCTACCCGCCAAAACATGGGAACAAACAAGGGTCCCCAAAAAATTTGGATGTGATACCCTAATTTTAAAGGAAAGGCTCTCAGAAATTACTGTCCTCGATTCGAATATTTGCTGCCTCCTGTTGGTCCCACGGCTAGTGCGTAGCATACTAGTCATGAAGAATAGAGGAAAGAAAATCTAATTGCTATGGGGGCCTCCATTGAAAATGGAAAGGACAAATGCATCGGCACGATAGATGCCAAAGACTCCTGCAGGTGGTTCTTGGGTTGACTATGATCCACTCTCGGACACAAGATTTTGCATGCATTAGTGTATTTATTGATTCTGCTTTCAAATCTAATTTATCTGTTGATACTCTTGTTATGCTTTTATTTTATTCTGCTTTCTACCATTATTGTTCAATGAAATAAAAAAAAGTTTGATAATAAAGACGCGGATAACTTCCTTCAAATGTTCAATTATAAATGATAAAATACATCTATTATTATTTCCACTTGATCCAAGCGAATTACTAACCCCATTCTAAAGTTCCCTCTCCACCACGTCTGTGTCTGGTCGTTCGCAACTACTGCTACCTTTACGATTTATTTGAAATTTTTGCTTTAGGCCCCATATCGTCCGTACAATTTGACCTTCTTCCCTCTATTCTTCATGACACCAATAATTTGTGGAGGGACTCACGGGATTGGAGTGAATTTTTCTGTCCATATGGGGCAAAAACCTTGTGAAAAGACCCATCGATATTTTCCCCAAACATCATATGTATCGACATCAGTTAGAAAATATGTAACAGAAAACTATTGTAAATATCTCTTAGTGATTGTAAGTTTTCCGACAATTGATGATTGTAATAAAGCATATCAGATCTTTTTCGTAGATGCGAGATTTCCTACCTAAGGAAGGAAATAATGCCCCACGCATAATTTCCTGAAATCGATAACTAGATAAATCATTTTAATAATCGATGAATACTGACCAATTGTTAATTTTGTGGAGAATGACAAGAAACCTGTTTTACAGCCAACAAAATTTTCGGCTCAGAGTATTCGGAATTATCTCTTTTATAACTATTCTCTACCGAGTCGATTGATATGTTTGTTCAGTCAAGGAGATGAGAATTGTTTTGTTCGTGTTCATTGATTTATCTATTTACTTTTAGACGGCGAGTGGTAATGTTGAGGCAAAAGTCATGTGTTTCTTCAGACGAAGGGATTTACCGCAGACCTTGATCATGCTAGCTGACAAACACCAGTGTAAGTATATTTACTTACATAATTTAACTTTTTTGGTCAATTTTTTCAAGTTTTGATCTTCATCACTAAAATTTTTTTTCAAACGACGGTGATAACTTAAAGAGTATCTCAATGATGCAAAGTTTAAGGAGATAAAAATATTGATAACGAAAAAGGATATTGTACAGATAAATCGGTGAAAAATATTTCAATCCTAACAAATTAGAGCCGCTTTGGATAATGATTTCCTTTCCACTGCGGAATCTTTTTGAAGCAGATTAGGTAAATTTAGGGATTTCTCGAAATGCACTTTTGAGACAGAATTGAGGGTTTTTCCTAAGATTTCACAGTTTTTTCTAAAACTTCACAATATCTATTTCGGAATGCATATTTAACACTTCGTTGGTCGCGCAAAAGTTACGAACGCTATTGATCGCGCCGTAAGCGCCGCGCTGCACCAGCATAAATCAATATAATGATAAATTTAAAAAATCTGGGAAAATCTGAAAAAAATCAAGAGTAATCTAGATCGTATACTTGAAGAAGTCCTGTGAGATTTTTTATGTTGAGTTACCTTTAGTTAGGTAATGTTTGAGTTACCTTTAATTATATATTCAAGCTCAAAGTTGACATGTTTTTCTGCAAATTCGCCATATACACGGTACACGACCCAGAGCTTCAGAATGAAAATTTGAAAATCCAACTACTTATGATATTTTTGGCGGATATTTTCATTGATAGAGCTTCTAGACACTTCCATATGAGATGTCAAATTTCTCCAAATTTTTATGAGGCTTTACTGCAGTGTGACTTTAAAATTCGAAAAAAGTGCGGCACGGCGCTCATAGCGCGACCAACGGAGTGTTAAGATTAGATATTGTAAACAAAGAATGAATTTTCGAGATTCTGGTCGGCCACCTACAGTCTTGCATTGTAAATCGGATAAGTCTGGAGTTTTCTGTTATATTTCTGAACTTAAAGGAAGTAAGGAAATTTTCGAGAGGAACTTTTTCATAACCTACCTCGACAACCGCAAAAGAGATTGTGATGAAGGACTTGTACTGCTAAAAAAATATAATTTTCTAAGAATGGTGCTAGTTTTTTTTTTATCCGGTAAATCAACAATTCCGACTATTGAAAATAAATGACTCGCGAGGGGAAGGGGGGCGGCCTCTTCATCCTTAACACCAGTCCAAATCAGAACACATCGAAACCGATTTAAATAGTAAAATCCGTAGGGAATGATCGGTCAAAGGGGAAGGTTTGTAAAATTCCCATATCTTGATTTATCAACTGAGATATTAAGGGGAAACTACTATGAGTTTTTAAAAGTCGCGAGCTATTGGAATCTTTCATACATTGAAGATCGATTATGTATGCCTGAAAACGGATAATTAGTACAAAAAATTAATTGTTTATTATTCATTTGCCTCGCAGACGCATAACATGTTAAAAATAGTCTAAGGCCTTCAATTTTTTAGCTACAGAGGTTTTCTTTTTCAAAATTAAAAAAAAAAATGTGTGCAATAACAATTACGAGGTACTTTTTTGGGATTCGACTCGTACACAGCTAATTTCGTTTTTTTTTAAATAAAAAATTGCACCATTCATGTAACATGGCCCGAAAAATGTTCCTGAAAGAATCGAGAATATATTGTAAATATTTTAAGGGTAATTTTTCTGCATATTCTATATGAGTGGCGCAAATTGTTATATTAAACAAAAGAAATTAGAGGTGTAGAAGTCAAATTTAAAAAAACTACCTCGTAATTGTCATTGGACACATTTTTTCAAAAATTTTGAAAAAAAACTTCTATAGTTACCAAATTGGAGGCCCTAGACTATTTTTAACATTTTAGGCGTCAGCGGGGCAAACGAACAATAAACAATTAATTTTTTTGCACTAATTATTCGTTTTTAGACACATATAATCGATGTCAAATGCATGAGAAATCTCACTTCAATCGATCGCGACTTTTAAAACTCATAGTAGTCTCCCTTTAAGAAATAAGGTGGATTGCATACGTTCTACTTTGCTCCACTCTGTCCTATGTTTTCGTTGAAGTGATAGAAACTTCGTTTCATTTTTAAATAGCTCCAAACAATATCAATTTTTTAAACAAAAAATGTATGACTTGATTAAAATACATGTAAAAATTCGATACTTGACAGTACTTATACTGAACATGGCTTTGTACAACGAACGTTCTTTGATACTTGATTCGCAATAATAATCAATGGCTCCAGAATCGAGACATGAAATTATCAATTCTGTAACTCAGCAAATGAAGACTTAAATGACTCAACTGATGTATAAGTCAACTTTGACTTAACTTGCAATGAATCTCTGGACGCGACGATACTGTGCAATCCACTGTTGCCAACAATTGACATCTAATTACTGTATCATAGTACTATGGTACTATGCTATAGTAGATGGTACTGAAACTCTCAACTTGTACCATTATTTTTGCGGTGTCTGTTAATTATTACTATCATTGTTACGCTAATTTTTATTATCAACTACTTAAACTGTTAGGAACTATCTATGTATTGCATAAGATATTTTCGAGTAGGGGCGTCTACAGTTTCTTCTTTGGGGGATAGCGGGGTCGAAAGTTTTTCTCGGGTTGTTCTTTTCAATCAACGTTTTTTTGTTGATTTACATTGTATTTTCAAATTACATGAATTCGAAAATCGCGCGACCAGATTTATCGTTGCGTTTACTACATGACATTTGCAGGGGTCATGCATCATGGCACTCATGCATAGTAAGGTCATATCTAGCGGGGATAAAACGTCCCAATGATCATACTTCGCGAGAATCACAAGTTGGAAGAATCATATCTCGCGATGGTCACAGATGGCAACGAGTGAATTTTACGGGAGTCAAGCTCACAGCCTTCTGAAATCTAAATCCAAAAAAAGTGGTCCACCGTAGAGATGACCCTGCTGATTTTCAACCTTCCTGAGGTTTGACCTTTATGACTTTGGATATCTGTGACGTTTTAACCACGTAATTTATCTCTTACGAAGTATGATCCGTGTAAGATATGATCCTCATGATGCATGACTCTTGTGAGGTATGACCCTTGCAAGGTATGACTCTGGCAATGTATGGTCGAACCATATGATCTTCATGAGACATGACCCTTATGAGGTCTAATCTTCATGACGTTTGACTCTGGCGAGATATGACTTTTGCAAGGTATGATTTTTGTAACGCGTGATCCTCGTGAGAGACGACCATAACAATCTCACAAATTTTCCATCGTACGTAAGATCTGAAGGGGGGAGGGGAGAGGGAGTCCGATATGATTGTGACTATGATTGTTCCGGTAAGTCTCCTATTGAGTCTTTGTTCCGTGGGATCTCGTAGTCCCATTTTAGAGATTTTTGCGATTGAATTCGCGATGGTCGTGTTATCTCTAAAGGGAAGCGGCGCGGTAACGCTGAAGTGACCGTCATGATTCTCTCTCGTTCTGAGTGTCATCGTCATCGTCCTTACCCTGAAGAGATTTTTCCCCAAAAATGGAAAAATTGGTAGCAGTTCATTAATCGATCCTAGAGTCCGGATGTGTCGTTCATTCACAATGACTTGAGGAGCTATGGCGAGGCGATTCATCATCTGAAACTTTCGATGATTAATTCATTGATGATATATCCGTTATAATGTCTCTCTGATAATCTTGATATTTCACTCACTATGGTAGCGCACGAGACCGGGACTACTCTCGGTCTCGTCTCGTCTCGGCTCGGTTTTTCGAGACGAGACCGACGGATAACCGAGACGAGATCGAGACGATACCGCTGGGGAACCAATAGTCTTGCCGAGACTTTCGAGATGAATCATGTTTTTTTTCATTTTCCGATCCGAAGGGCGGAGTTATTGCAATGACCCCGAAAATCAAATGTGGAGTTTCCATGATTTGTCCACGTTTCTTGACGTTTCGAATCATCCTGACAAATTTTTGAAGACATGTGTGTGTGGGTGTGTGTGGGTATGTGTGTTTGTCTGTATGTATGTGGTCAAAGTTACGTCCAATGATGTCTCCCGAACGAATGAAGCGATTCAATTTTTTTTGCAATCGATGAGTCTTTATGTAACTTGAAACTGATTAGTTTATAAAAACGATCGCGTCAGAAATTCTTCAGTTAGTCGCGTAAAACTTGTGAAAAAATGCCAGAAAAACAGTTTTCTGGAAATCCAACGAGTTTACCCAGAAAAATGATGGAATTAGAATTTTTCTTTTGCAGTGATGTGCCTTTATGTATCTTAATTCTGATTGGATGTTGAGGGAAATCGTCTCAGCAGTTATGGGTTATTTGCAGTTCTCATCTTGTGCTGACAAGCGTTGAAGAAATAAAATTGTCTCTTGAAAAACCATGTCTCCTGTTCTTGTGAAAACCCCCGACGAAAAAGTTATCCTTGAGTAGTTTAAAAAGAGCAAAATAAAAACTCAAAATTTTAATTAGACGAAATTTGAGTTTTTATTTTCCTCTTTTTAAACTACTCAAGGATAACTCTTTCGTCGGGGGTTTTTAATTTTCTAGTTTTTATTTTTTTCATTTAAACCTTTTTCAGTTTTTAAATAAGTCAATTGAAAATTTTTCTGTCGGGGATTTTCAATTTTCAATTTTTCTGTTTTTCTGGTCTTTTCGTTTTTCAGTTTTTAAATGAGTCAATTGATAACTTTTTCGCCGGGAGTTTTCAATTTTCTGGTTTTCAGTTTTTTTACCCTTTCCTGCATAATTTAATCCTTTGATTACTCTAAAGGTGATTATCCTCAATTGGAAACTTACGCGCGCAGAGTCATAAGTATGACCGAAATTTCAATGCTACCAATTCATTTTCGTTTTTGCATGCTAGGGAATTACGGTTCAATCTAGTCACCTTTATCGAATCATTTTTTTATGCACTTTTTAGAAAAACGGAGTAATTAATAAAAACAAAAGAGCTTCGTAGTTCGATTCTTCGGAGTGTTTTCATCATTTGTTGAACAAAAACTCATTTTTTCGAATCGTTTTTCATGTAGTTTCGTCTGGACAACGACGTTGTAGAGTTAGGTTACCGAGCGTCAAAAGCATATATCTCTTCCTTTGGTTTGATGTCGAGGGTAA